GCAAGTAAAAAGTTAATGAATAACAATTGTAACATCACATTTGTCACATGCACATCAAACTCACACACATTTTATTTTAGCATTAGAAAATAACAGAAAAGCTTTAAAAACTTATTATACATCAAAATTTTCTACACAGCATTGCATGAGGCAAAAAATGAAGCTATGTTTACTGTCACCAATAAATTTATATTTTGGAATATTCATCACTTTCATACTTAATGATTCAGTTTCTATACAATAATATTCTTTCTCAATTTACCCAATTGCACATTACACATGTAGTTGCTCTCAATAACATAATTATGTTATATGAAAACCAGACACCGACATGTCACACTTAATATGACAACATTGGTCTCTTCGCCGTACATGTACGTCAATGAACATGTATATTCACTTAACAAAATCAAAACAACATACAAAATCAAAACAAAATAAATTGTTTTTAGTAAGATATTCACATGATTTTATGACCTCTGGCACTTCGCAATTTACTAAAAACCTACATCCGCCAGACGTTGGTTGGTTTTCCTTTAAGAAACAAAGAAACTTGTCAAGCAAAAATAGTCCATGTGATCGAATGTGGTGTTGAATAAAGGATTTTAAATTAATTTTAGATTAAATTCCAAAAGAAAGTACTTTTTTCTTTAAAAAAAAAAAAAAAAAGGTTTTCAAGGTGTATATTCTGAAATTCAATTTTTTTTTCTTCAAACGAATATTTCATCATTTTTCCCTCTAAATTGATCAGTGATGATGTCATTTATTTATTTTTATCCATATACACTTGAAGAAATACCTCAAAGAGGTTTCCGAAAAACTTTTGTGATTGTACATGTCGTCATGCATCTTATTGTATCAGTCCGTATCACACGACCACCCAATCGTTTATTTTTCACGCCACTTTTGACAATAGTAGTTAAACAAACATTAGAGTTATCACCCGTTGCTTTTCCGTAGCTACATTATGATTGTTCGTTTAACTTTACCGTTAAACCCACTGACAAAATTTTAGCATTCCTTGTTGCAATTATATTTTACATTATAAAAACATGTACTCACAAAAAGCCTATTTCTCCTCTTTATGGGTAATTCGTATCTTGAAATCTTCAGATTAGGTGAAATATCTGGAGTAGGACGACCAGCCATATTAATGAGAATAATGTTCACGGAAATTCCGGAAGTGCGTAGAAATGTGCTTTTTATACCCTGATGAAATCAGATCTTCAGTTTAGTATTTCTAAAATGACGAGTCAATTGTATGTAATAAGAATTTATAATTTTTGTCCTTTCCTGAATGTTCTACCTTTAAAACTGATGATTCGGGATGATTCGGAGAGAGAGAGAGAGAAATGGGGAGATAATTTTGATATTGTGATGATTCCGGTGTAGCGAGACAGGACTGCATTTTTAGGGTTAATTTAAGATGGGTCAAATGATATGCAAAGTTTTCTTTCGCAGACATTATTTCAACATATGTACCGTCTAAAAAGATTGCGCCAATAATTGAGACATCCATGGATTCTACAGAAAACACTCTATAAGTACATGTATTTGTAATTCCAAGTTTTTTCAACGGACATTTTCATATAACTTGGACTTATTTTGACCTATTATACAAACACACCTAGGCCTCTGACAATTCTTGCTTAAAATCCATGTTTTCATACTAATTCCATACAAAGTCGCCAATGACTGTTCTAAAGTTTCCGGTAATACATGTAATTAACAAACAAAAACCAAAAAAAAGTCATAACCTGGAGGGATTAAAATCATCCCTATAATTATTCCATTGGATTATTTGTAGCTCTAAACACCATTTCTTTCCGTAACAGTCTTCATTCATTTATTATTACAAATGCAGCCGCCATATCTAGTTTCTTCCCAAGACATTGATTTACCTGTCTTAAAATCATAACATAACTTAGAAATATCCTTAGATAAGACGATGTTACTGTAACGGATATGATGGACTTAGGAAAAAGTTCTTTCCTAGAAATACATCTTAGTACTAGTCCTAAGTTATCTTTGTGAACCTCTAAGTATTTTTCTCCGATTCAACAGAACCTGGGCTGTTTCACAAAACTGTCGTAAGATTTGTCCTAAGACAGATCTTAAGATCATAAGATATGTCACTGCCGTTTTAAAGTATACCCCGGTGCGTACGTGTTCATAAATATCTCTGGAGGTGTTTCTAAAAAGGTTTTACTGCTACTAATAATTATGTGACTGGTCATTTTTTTAATTCAATAATAAAAAAAACTGTCAATTTTTGCGATACAATTTATTGCTATAAAGATTTAACGTTTACAAAAAAAAAAAGATTTTCGAAAAGAGAAGACAACGGAGCTTTCAAACATCTCTAAATGGATATAGCGATTACGATATACGGTTTTGGACAGGAAACGTGAATCCCATTCCTCTATAAAGGTATGCGTGTTTATTTTCGTTCTGGTACCTTGGTAGATTGATCAATTATAAATACCAAACCAAAATACTGTGTAAATAGCTCGGGTGTCTCCTCTTTGGTTTCCAAAATATAAAAAAACATGATAAAAAAAAATGAAAGAATAGAAAATAATTGAAATCCAGATATATGAGAAGCAAACGGGTCTGTTTTCAGTCTTCATTATTCTTTCCTGCATTGAAAGTAATGCCAATTATAAATAATCATTTTGTTGACTTAAGATCAGACGACATATTCTTCAATAATATATTTTCCCCAAAACCGAATTTTACAAGTTTCTTCATATTAAATTAAAGAGACAGTACGGTGCATCTCATCAAAAAACAGACTTCATAAAATTTTTCGATAGGATTTGGCATTTTTTTTACTACTCATAAATGTATAAACTTTCAGAAAATTACAAGTCTCATAACTAAATAACTTTGATTATTTCATTAAAATTAATAATTATTTATGGACCATAAATATATACATCACAACGTGTTAGGGGTTCCACATTCCATGCCATTCACGCATTCATAAACAAAACAGCATGGTAAAAGAGGGTAGCAGGGTAGGCCTGCTACCTTGACAAAGTAGACCAAGAAGAAAACAAACTGAAAATAGAGCTTGAAAAAGCGAATTTCCTGACCAAAGTTAAATATTAAAGGATTAATATAATCGTTGGTGGAGGAAGAAACGGGAGCTCGGCGAGACTCACACAGGGCTCGCAAAGGTTCTCCTCAACAGGTTTGTTGATACATGGTATCATTTCTCATATCTCCATCGCTTTCAAAGAAAAAAGCAGTGTAAACTCAACACCTATGACATATAAATATTATTGCCATTTTAAAAAGTGCAAATTTAATGTAACTGTCCTGAAAATATTTTTGACGTTTGCCGCGATAACGCATAATTTGGTGATTTTCCCTTCTCGGACCCCAATACAAAAAACGTCAATATTTGTACTTTTAATCCTTTAAAATTCGTCTCATAGCAGATTAAAAAGTTCCCGATTAATAATTTATCGGAAAAGTTATAATATTTTGCTTTTGAGAATTGCTTTTACCTTATATTCCATTATAATTGTAAACTTTACAGTTTAGGCACGTGTCATTCAGAACTCACGTGGTACAAATAAACAGATCTAAGATTGCTCCGGTTTGTACCACCCTTGGACTTCCAGCAGATTCTAATTATGTTTAATTTTGTTTGAAGAGAGAATATTCATGTTTCTCAAACTGTTGATATCGACTTTATACCTTATTTCTTAATGATATATTGGGTAAATTTGAAAAACACACATTGTGTAGCCGTATGTCGCTTTAAGGTACATCACTAGGCATTTGTGTAAGATTCCAGAGGAAAATACTTCCTATTTAATCCTATTATAAATCACTTGAATTGCTGATATCAACATTTTTTGTTTATTTATAAACATTCTAAAAAGTTTACAATTCGCAAGATATAAATAATTATAAACAGTTTTGGTGTATTAGGAAAAGATACAAAAAAAAAACAAAAAAAAAAACAAAAACAAAAAAAAAAAACAAAAAACAAAAAAAAAAACAAAAAAAACGGATACCTTCTGTGGACTGTGTCGTTAAACCTTAATTTGCACTTTGTACTAGGGCTGTACAAAAAGTTTGTTTACAATGTCTTTTCTGTCATATGAAATGGTCCGAGATAAAGATCGTGTATACCAAAATATTCTTTATTTAAAAAAAAAAACCTTAGAATAGTTTGGATCTGATTTTTTTTTTATTTTATTTTTGTAAAAATCGCCGTCTTTAAATGCTGCAGATAGTATGCACGACCCGAGGTCAAATGTTACGAACTACTAAAGATTTTGGATGAAATTATTTTTTTTCCTAAGAGAAAAACTAAATGAAATTTATCTGTGAATTACATGTAATTAAAACATTATTAAAGGATTGTTGCCATTTTCTGATACCATAAGTATCGTTTATTGGACGAATAAAGAAAAAAATCAAGAAATATCTTTGAAAATGCCCAAACAACCCAACGGAAATCAGCGTACAATCATTAAATTATGTGTTGATATGATGTTTAAAATAGAGTTAGAGACAATAAATAATCAATAATTTGTCCAGACCATTGATTTACACTTGACAAACTTTTTTTTTCATGGTGTGTACAATTTGGGAGACACTGCAAGAAGCAGATTTCTTCACAAAGAATACGATATCTCTATATCAAAGAATTATGAAACTAGTTTCCATGGCAGACTATTATGCCGTGCGGATGGTAGAAAGTATTTACAAAGCATACTGATACTTGTAAATCTGTTAGCAAAACATTTGGATATGCATTTTTCGATGTCTTTTTTTTCAAACATATTTACTATGTATGAGTTTATATAGCTGAATATTCAGTTTTTTTTTTTTAATCTGTAAGTAACAATTAAGATATGTATAATGAATCGGGTTATTCTCGAGGGGATTACAAACTTGACGACGTCATAGTGTCAAGAAACGTCACAGTGTACAATCACGTTACGTCATAATAACATTCACTGAATAGTGCATTAAAAATGGATAGCTACAATATTTCAAGACATCCTACCACACTCTGGATCCAATTTGAATGTGAATACGTTGTACCAAATGATGGCTTTGTTTTGGCAGTTTGTGGATCAATTCCAGAACTTGGGAGCTGGAATGCTAGCGCTGCACTCATAGCAGGTAAGTTTTTTTTTTTAAATCAGCATAACACTTTAAACATGCACACCGAAATCTGATGTCGTATAGTAAACCTTTCTCATAGCAAACCTTCACCCGGAATGTTTACTATCTTGTAAAGTTTCCCCCTCGGAATAATTGCTATATTGTAAATCTTCCTCCCCTATACTTTACTACATACAGTATACCGGGTAGTAAATTTTCCTCCAAGCAAAGAATTGTCAAAGTGTATTACAAGAACGCTTACATTATGTTGTCAATTTCTTAAACCCACTAACATGACTAAGTTAATTCAAATTTTAAAAAAAAATACATATGCTGAATGCAAAATATTCTTTACTGATGTAGTAATGTAATATGGCTTTTTTGATTGAAATGCAAGTGAATTTTAACCGAAAATTCTAAGAAAAATAACTTGCGGTGAGGAATTTTTATACATTTTACCCTAATCCTTAAGGTTCTACGACATAGAGAGAAAAGGGTTTATCAACAGCTATTATTGATTACAAGATTAATAATGCGTTTTTGTTAATGTATTTGCTTAAGATCAGCAATTGAAGGAATCTGGCAAATGGGTCGCTGGGATCCACCTACCAGCAAATTCTACATTCGCTTGGAAATGGGTGGTTCTCCAGCGGCCAAACCTTACTCCCTACCGGTGGGAGGAAACCCACAACAGGATTGCCATCCTTGGTGAACATAACGGAAAATTCCTTGCACCATGGAACACAGAAATGGCGTTTGATGTTGTTCCATTCACAAAACCAAGGGGTATTAATTTCACAAATAATAATAAATAAATAATAGAAGACCAATGTTGGTTACAAATTTAGAATCATAAAGTATAATAAATGTACATTGTGTTTGTATTTCTCCAGAGGATAGTATTTGGACAGACGATGATGCAAGGCAGCTGAAGACGCTGTTGAATCTAATAGCACAACACAACTATGAAAGTTCTAGTCTAGAAGAACCAAAAGTACAACCCAAAAATCAACCAGCCACAATTGTCGGTAGAGGAATTCTAGATATTATCTTAAGGATTCCTCGTTGCGTAGGGGCAATGGCCATGTCTGCCTTTGAGCTTATTAAAAACAAACTTGTTAGTTTGTGGCCTGGTCGACACAATCAAGAAGATGATGCTGATAGGGATTTGGGTACATGGGTGTAGGGACATATCCCCGTCGAAGAGTTTGAGAGCATGATTTTCCTTTCAATTCGTCCTAGGAAATTTGTCATTTACATCTGCCAAGAACATATTAACGGAAGAAAGTTATGAAAAAACTTCAGGAAAAGCTTTCCTATTTTTGCGAAGTGTCCAATTCTCCGCCTTAGATATATCTCAGCCGGACATTGCAACAATCAGTCCAAGATGAACTTCAAAACGTAAGGAAAGTTTGTACAATGCTTGCCGAATGTTCCCATTCGATCACTGATTAGGTCGAGAATTACCGAGAACTGAGATAAAAAGTATTTATTTTCACCTAATTGTTTGTGAACATTAAATAATGAGGGAGACAGTGATTGAATTTTGTTGGTGGTGATAATTAGATTTTTTTTTTTAGTTTTTTAAAAATGAATTTTACTTTGTCAATATTATTTTTTGGTTATAAATGATATGTTAATAAAATAAAAACGAATTGGGTGGGTGTGAAAAAGAAATTCTTTTTTTTTTCTTCAACATAAATGCTTAATTTTAAAAAATCTATTGAAATTGAAGGTTTTAATTGTGTCACATTCAACATTGAATTATTTATTATTATGGGCTTGTATAGATAAGCCTCCTAGAGATCAAATACTTGAGAGTAAAAAATTAAACTACTTTATAAATTCGGGGATGAATTTTAAAAAAAATTCCTAGAGATTTAAAAAGTTTTCAGTCTGACCATTTTTAATCAGTAGGTCGGTTAGTCGGGGGCAAACAGACAGTTTATGAAAGACTGCCATAGCATTATCAACGTATTTTCAAAAGTTGGAGGACAACAATTAAACTGTTGCAAGACTACTGTGTAAATATAAATAATTAAGAAGTTTATTTATGCTAACATGCAACTTATGTTTGATGGCAGTAGAATGATGTAGGCGTCCAACAAAATTGAAAATAATTTCAAGGGAAATTCTTATATCAAAAATCTTAATTATGTTAACGTAAAACGGGAAAAAAGACTCGTATACATGTAACACGACATCTAAATTTTATCTTATCAGAACAGTTTGTGAAATGGCATCTTGGAACGGGAAAATACCGTTATATCTTGCTTATCTCTTCCTCGTGAACTGTAAAGTGCATGCATACCCAAACAAAATAGAATTGTTTGTTCAGCTGCTTTTTCACACCAATTGAAGATAGCTAATATATGTATATTCAGATGGCTATTCAATACCGAAATGAGGTAAAATGTATTGTGTAAACTGCTAGTTAATGTATTTTAAAAAGAAGTATTACAGTACATATACAAAATGATAATTCTAAACCACCTTTCGCTGACCCCGGTACTTACTTTTTGTACAGATAGGGGTGTAACCAAATAGATAAGGTCTGGAACTTTTAAATTCTGTCCTGGGTGCCTATATATATATATATATTTGAACTGCTCAATTTAATTTTAATTCAATTTAATTTAGATCATTTTAAAATAGTTGATTACGAATATTAATGCAGGCATCAATTCTTTTATAGAGAACAATAATTCAATCAAATTAAAGACATCATCATTTGAATTATGAACATATTGGAATGGAGACATCACTGATTTATAAAATAGTTGTTCTCTCTAAAAGAATGATAATCAATTATTCAATTGAAGTGAGCAATAATTCAATTAATGATATCGTCAATTAATTTGAAGATACCAACGGATTCAATTATTGCACACATACTTCAGCAAATTAATGCGTGCAATAATTCAGAATGGACGATATCATTAATTATTTTAAGAAATGATCTTAAATTGAAATGTTAAATCCAGTGAGTTGAATACATTGTCGAATTCTATAAATAATTAGAGATATATTCAATAATTTGAGTTTATATAAAATTGGCGTTCTAGTAAATAAACAGACTGAAGTCATTGTAATCATAGTTGTCCTAATTCCAGCGCAAGCTTCGGATTCTTAGTGTTCAGAAAATGTTCTTTCTACAGACACCAAGACAGATTCTGAAATCTCTAGGATACGGGGTCCTGATTGCCTACCTTGTTCCGAAGTAGTATAGATTCTGCGATTGTTGGGTGATAAAGAGTTGTTATCAAAGCATTTACACAGAAATTGACCCACAGTTTGCTACACGGTTATACAATGACCTTAACATACTTGACTTTTGTCACCTAGTGCAAATTCAGACTTTGAGGAAGTTTCGATAGAGAAGAAAATGGCCGACGTCCCACTTTATGTCTTGAGAAAGCTAGGAATACGATACTAGTTAAAAACTCCACTGTGGAAGTTAAACTCTTGCAAACTGTTATTATAGGTCTGCGCAGTCCATCTTATATGAGTAATGTCTTTAGGAATGACGATACCGATTATGTTAAAGCAATGTTTCTGTATTTTCATCTTTCATTTGGGCAAAATATACCTTATCGGTGAATTGCTACAAAAATAAACGTTTTTTTTTTAAATTTTTCCTTCATTCCATCATACTGCAATTTAATAAGGATCAAAAACAAACACAGACATTCAATTAAACTTCCTGGTTTTGTTAAATTCCAATGACCATTATTGTTCTCAGTCTAACAGTTAACAATGAACTAAATGAGGAGAGGACAAGAAATTTTATGTTTAGCTATATGAGACCAAGTTAACTTATATAAATCAAATAGGGTTTCTCGTTTAAAAATTGAACAGGACATAACTGCAAGCATTCATTACTTTTTTTCATAATATAGGTTTACAATTACTTCACACCAGGCCCCGGGTTCATGAAGCATCTTAAGCTTGAGTCAAAATCTTTATGCTTTACTAAGATGATGTAGAAGTCAAGTAGACCAAATTTAAGTATTTTTAAATATTGTTTTACAAAAGTGTTGTTATCTGCAAATCTAGAGAATAATTCCATAATTAATAAACATTTAACAGGCGATTGAAAATTTGACTTAAGTCTAAGTCTGTTTCATGATCCTGGGGCAAGGCTTGGGGCGAATTACATTGTAAAGTAATGCATTACATTACCAGTTTGGCCATTAAATTATCATTACCATTATTCGAATTTCTTAAAGTAATGCATTATCATTAAGTAATTACCATTACTTAAGTAAAGTAATGCATTACCATTACCATAACTTTTGGGTTTTTCAAAAACAGAAATGCCAAACTTGTGCAACTATTTTGAAATTTATAAACATGCACTCCGCCCCTTCAAAACTAAATCTGATGAATGTTAATCAAGTTTTGAAATTTGAACCAATTTGAGAAAGAAATATTTTTGCAGAGAGCGAGACAAACTGGAGGACCATCTCCGTTTTTCCCCAGACTATCAGTTCATTTATCGTCAATTGATATATTTTTAAAGAAAACTGTTTATTACATTTCAACATGAAAAACTGTAATTTATTTACTGAATAAAAGTGATATTCTGTCACAGTGTGAAAGGATATCAAAATGGTATTCTCACAGTGTGAGAATATCAGAAGTGCAGCAAAACTTACTATTTTCCTTCCCTTCACAAAGAGTGTTTTAAAAAAAAATCCAGGCCCGTTATAAGATAGAGTTAATGAGCCATTCCGACAAAGACTAATAGTTATACTGCCAAAGTATTTCCAAATATGTCGTTAAAAATCCATGTTTACAACGTTTTTCAATCTCGCGAGGTCTCAAACCATGACGTCACAGCCTATGACACTGTGCAACGAAAAGACAGTTCTAGGCAAAGGGAAAATCTAAGAAAATGTAATAAACAGAAAATTCAATGTTTTGTAGATGAATATGGAATTTATTTCACTATATTTTATATTTTCACTCGTGCTTCACACTCGTGAAAATATTTTTAAAAATCCTGTCCCACTCGTGAAATAAATTCCATATTCAGCTACAAAACTTTGAATATCCTCTATATACATGCTAGAAAGAGAGTAAAAGAAATTAAAAGAAATTGAAAATGTAATGCAAAAAGTAATGGGAATATAAATGAAGCTATCTTTTTTTTATGTTATCTCAAAAAGTTAAAAGACTATGCAATATTATATTTAATATCATAAATTTTTAATTGTTGCCATTTGTTTCTGTAAGCTTTCAGACTGGAGATTGAAATCCATGTTTTGATATTTTGGCGATTGCTGATTCTTGATGACCAAGCTTAGGACTTGATGAAAAGCGTAAAGCATAATTACTGCAAAAAATCCATCTTTTAAAAATTTGAATTTTACTGATATTACTAACGTGTTCTATTTAAAGTTAAAACCTAATCAAGTTAAACTTATCTATAATAACAGTCTGTTATAGATAAGTTTAATTTAATATGAGGAAGTTTGAACTTTTAATGTAACAAATGCTTTACTGTAATTTGATACAATAAAACATGCATCCACTCAGCATTGGTGAAGTAACAGCAAACCTTTGATAACTAAATATGATTATGCAGCTTTGACCTAATATAACCAAAATTAAGCCTGCTGATTTTAAAGTGGTAAAATCTAAATAGAAAGAAAATTGAATCTCGGAAAATAATTGTTAAATTTATTGTTTTTATACAGACAGATCGTGGACAAAAATGTTCTTTGGAATCAAGCACTATATATCAAGATTGTATTTGCCTTTTTAGTCTCAAACTTGCTAAGTTTCAAAATAAAGTTTGATAATAGTTGCATTATTACTAACGTATTAATTTTGGTAATTTATCGTTCCAAGACAAACATGCTGTTTTATTATTATCTTTTTTTATTATTATTATTGAATGAAGTGAATTAGTAGGAAAAATACTTCAGAAGGAAGTGATATGGACATTTGTGCCCAGTCTTCTAAATGACAGATGATGTTTATTTATATTTATAAATAAATACAGTTATCATACTTATACGTATATATCTTCGGTCGTTTGTCACATTTGACCTGTAGGGGGCGTTGATAACTTAGAGAGTACCTCTAGGGGGCGTTGATAACTTAGAAAGCAGTCATTAGGATTGGCAGGGAGGTCGAAAAGATTAAACTATTTATATCTTATGTATAATTCGATTCTTAGTAAATAACATTGTCAAACCACAATTCATGACCTTACTCAGAGATGCATATAAAATAATCTAATCAAAATCAATAAGAACAGCTAGGTTCTGATTTATGAATTTTTAAAATAACTTGAAAATAAGATGTGCTAAAGTTTTCTGAACTTATTTTAGTCAGTAAAATGTTCCTGTTTCGCCATAAATGAAGGGTAATGAAAGACATACATGTTCAACATTTATTTATTGCTGTTAGGTGTAATTACTCCAAAAATTGGCAAATTTTCTTGATCTTGAACGTAATAATAGAAAAAAAAATTAAAGTTCTTATTTGTTATCACGTATTGATGTTTTGATTTGAGCCTTTAAACCTTCTTGGATAACCAAAAATGAAACTTTTTTGAGATTTCGTAACTGTCCTTGATGATAAAATGAAAATCAACATCATAGTTACTGTAAACACAAATAGTACAAAGAAGTATCATATGAATTTGCCGTGATAAGCAAGAAGGTATCAAAATCTTCCTATCCCTAGCTATCAAAGAATTTGCGAACTTGGTCAGATAAAAGGCCAGATCGGGGCTAGATCAGATCATTTTACAACAGGGTCCTTGGCCGACATGCGTCAGGCTTTCATTCTTCTTTCGTGCGCTCTTGTGAGCCTGAGGGGCGCAGAAAGCGCTGCAACTGCAGCACCCTGTAAGTGACCCTCGTTTTACAGTAGATCTGTTATCATATGCTAGTAGGATTTTTAAATTGTTGGAACTTAATCGTAGACATTGATTTAACACGTTACTCAGGGTTTATTATCATTTACATTTGAAAAAACTTTCTAAAATCAGTAATATTTTATTTTAAAAAAAAAATTAACATTTTTGATGAGAAACTATATTTAATATTTTCTTATCTTAACAAAGTTTGGAAAATACTTTGTTTCGAATTGTGTTCGATTGAAAAAGATCATGTGGTTTTCTATCCAATTGCAGCAAATATATATATATATATACTTTTGAACGCAAACAAAAAAATTTTTACGAATGCTTTGACTTCAAAAAGAATTCCTCGAAGCAATCGGTTTTATTTCAATATTACGGTAACATTTTTTTTAATATTTGCAGCATGTGGCACAGTTCCCGCAGATATTGTGTTTTTACTTGACTCTTCAGGATCTGTGGGATCTGCAAACTTTCGAAAGCAGCTAGACTTTGTGAAAAAATTCGCTAACACATTTGACATAGGACCTAGCAATGTGCAGATTGGTGTTGAGACGTTTGCCACGACTCCTCACCATCAGTTTTTCATGAACAAATATCCATCTAAGAGTACATTACTAAATGCCATAGGCTCTGTACCTTACCAATCGGGTTCCACTCACACCGATTTGGCTTTGAAATACGTCATGGATCATGACTTTAAACCAGCTGCTGGGGACAGAGACCATGTGGTCAACATCCTTATTGTGATGACCGATGGTCAGTCCAATGACCGCCAGGCCACTATTACTCAGGCAAACAAACTTCATGGTATGAATATCAAAACATTTGGTATCGGTATTGGCAGTGGAATTAACCGGGCTGAATTAGAACATATTGCAACTGACTCGAAACACGTCTTCACTGTGTCTAATTTTGATGCTCTGAACACTCTGCAAGCAGAACTGAAGAAGACAGCTTGTGAAGGTTGGTTATTGTATCTTTTTGTCATCTATTTTGAACAAGCATTTTCTTGATAATCATAACGAGAAAATATGTGCTTGCTTATATAGCAGATTCTGTGTCAGACAGAATGAATAAAATATATAAAGTTGAAATAGCTAAAACCCTTATTGATCAGCAAGCCACAAAGCTCAAATTTGAATCTGTTACCTTACCAAGTGAGGCACTGTTTAGAGTCTTTTATTTTTTTCTCATTTATTAAAGTATATGATCTGCAACATGCACAAATTGCTCCCTTTTGGAATTTCAGTATTAAAAATAATATTCTAATGTTTTTAATTATGTATTTATTTATTATTAAATATTTGACATTATCTAAAGTATGTTAGAACATAACAAGCATTCTGAGAGTATTGCATTAGCAATACTAGTCCCCTACCGGCAAGTGTAATCTGGTTCCGTTCCCGTTAAGAATTGAAAATGTCATAATTCCGTCAAAAATTAATGAAGCGGAACGAAATGCAAACTTGATCTGTAACTCATCAAGATACACTCACATACCAAAAATCAGCTCAATATCTGCAAGCGTTTAGGAAAAAAGTGCGGAAAACCAAGTGGGACAGACTGACAGACAGACAGAGGGACAGACAGACAGACAGACGGACAGACAGACAGACAGACAGACGGACGGACAGACGGACGGACAGACTCAGAGGAAACCTATAGTCCCCTCTGGTTTCACCGGTAGGGGACTAATAAGGAAGACGTTTCATAAAAGTCACATTCCTCTTTAGTCTCTGTAAAAATCAAATTCGGAAATTTTAATTGTCACAGTTTGATATTACCAAAGTTTTCAGTGTATTATCGTTGAACATAGACTTACTGTGCGTGTCCTTACTAATGCGACATAGATAGCAATAAATTTTAGGGGCTTGTCTGGAAAATGAACAAATGTTCTATAAGGGTGTGTTCACGTAGAACATTGCTTATTTCACGTAGACTTATTCCAGTAAATAACACATGCAGGGAATGTCATAGAATACGACATGTATATCTCTGTTACATTTCTTGACCTTGCTTTAAGTAGAACAATACTTCAATATTTTTTTTCCATATCTAATTGTCTGCAGATTCCATACTTTTCGAATTTTAATAAATAACATGCATGTAATTTATTTGAAAAAAAAATGAAAAATAACACATTTATGTGCGATTCGCTAACATATATATTGATAAAATTCATTGAAATCCTTTTTAAATTCATAATGCAGGACTGTATAAAACAATATACACTTATTTCATGACTACAAGGGGAACAGTCAAACTGTTGTCCCGAGGTAATGGGGAAGACCTGGGAAACTGTTGCCCGAGGCCGAAGGCCGAGGGCAACAGTTTCCCAGGTCTTCCCCATTATCGAGGGACAACAGTTTGACTGTTTCCCGAGTTGTCATGAAATAAGTGTTTTATTACCTAACCTACTATATAATTTCTTAAAGTAATGATATAAACACATTGACAAAAGTTTGCATTTTTTCTTAGTATTTTCATGCACTAATAAATTGATGTATACATGTATTGTTTAGTAAACAACATAGGTTTTAATATAACACGCTGAGTCGGACGTTTAAGGCAAAGATCTATAGTGAGTGAAAGGAGCCTACATTTTTCCCAAAATTACCCCCAGAAAAGGTGTTCTTGGCCTCTTTTTTCAAATGATATTAAATTGAATATATATTTATATGGGTATCAGGATTACTCTTCAAATAATAGTTTTAAATTTATTGCCATTAAAATGCTTCAATTTATACATAATTCAATATTATAGCTGTAAGGTACGGGAAATTGATTATGACGTCATAATGGATCAGTTCAGCCATGCAACAGTTCATTCTGTGACCGGGTAAACAGTTTTGACTGTTTCATGATGTGCAAAAACATTAAAATGAATCAGGAAACAGTTCAAAATGCCTAATTACAATTTATATAGTAGGTTAGGTAATAATAAAGATTATTTTATATTGTAATATTTTTTTCTGTTTCACAGAAGTTGGGTAGGGGCACAAACCTAAATTTTTTTTATAGCTTTATATAATCTGTTATAAAAGACACTAATAGTCATATCTTTTATATACAGCCACTAGCCTATACTCTACAATAATGTTAATTCTTACCTTATAAGTCATGCAATTTTTTTTCCAAATTGACCATATGGGATGTCAAACAATGCTAAAGAACGAAATATATTCATGTTTCAGTCGACGGAGCTTGGAGCAAATTCGGATCCTGGTCTCCCTGCACCAAAACCTGTGGTGGAGGAACTCACTACAGAGAAAGGTCTTGCAACAACCCCCCACCTGCCAATGGCGGTAAAAACTGTGTCGGAGCAGCAAGAGAAACAGGAACCTGTAACACTAAAGCATGTCCAACGACACCCCCTCCCACCACCAAACCTCCAACAACTCGACCCCCTCCCACCACGACTCCCCGACCAGGTAATTTCCCGATCAGACCTAAAAGTTCGATATGATACAAATTATTCAACCCTTTTATAAATTAGTGGTTTTTATCTGACTAGTACCTTACATATCAATTGCACTCTGAATTGTAGCATATAGTTTTTATATAGATATTAAATCTATATGTAAGATTTTTAGGCCCCCATATATAATCTTTTATATATTTTTTTTTTCAGGATGTGGTGTTGTTCCCGCTGACATTGTCTTTATTCTCGACTCTAGCGGTAGTGTAGGAAACACCAATTTCCAGAAGATGTTGGACTTCGTCAAAAACATGGTCAATGGTATGGATATCAGTGCAACAGGAACAGAAGTTGGTGTCATCACCTACAGTGACAGAACTCATCTGGAATTCCACTTAAATGCACACCACGACAAGCAATCCCTTGCAAATGCTATCAATAATATCAGATATATTTCTGGAGGTACTAACACAGCTGATGCCTTGAAATATGCCCGGGAAACGAGCTTCCAGACAGCCAATGGTGCAAGAAATAATGCTGCCAAGATTGCTATCGTTATTACCGATGGTAAATCAACCAGTACTATTGCCACATCTGCCGAGGCCCAGAGATTAAGACAGAAAGGTGTTACCGTCTTCTCTGTCGGTGTAGGAGCCGCCAACAAACAGGAGTTGAACGCTATGGCTACTGACCCAGATGCTTCTCATGTTTTCGTTGTCAACAATTTCGACGCCTTAAAACAGATCAATGGTGAATTGGCACAAAAAGCTTGCGAAGGTATGCATTCTTGTTGTAATTTTCCTTTGGTTGTCAGTTTGTTTTATCTGTGATATGAAACTGTAAAAAATAAGGTAATATTGTGTACTTCTATATCCACAGTCAAAGCAACCACCGCCCCACCACCAGCCAACAAAACAGGTAGATTTATATTCAGTAAATATGGTAGAAAGAGTAGACAGAGAAATTATCAAAATATTTTTGAAATCCTATGAATTCAGCTTCACTACATTTAATATGAAACTAATCATCTGTTTCTGAAGATTGTGGTGCTAAGGCCGATATTGTCTTCTTACTGGACTCCTCTGGTAGCGTGGGGTCCACCAACTTCAACAAGATGTTGAAGTTCGTAGAGGGTGTTGCCCAGACGTTCAATATTGGACCAAATGATGTTCAGATTGGAGTAGACACCTTTTCCACAGGACACAAAGCTGAATTCAATTTGAATTCTCATCTGGATAAGCAATCTTTGGTTACAGCCATTAGTCATATTCCTTACAAGTCTGGTTCAACTCACACTGGTGAAGCCATCCAGTTTATGCATGCCAACAGTTTCACTGCTGCTGCAGGTAAGTAGACAAACTTTACGTTAATCGAGACGTCTCCTACATGTAAATTGTATTTCCTTGAAGAAGGTCTAAAAGTGAGATATTTTGAACTCTTCACTGTTAACGCTGAAAACTCACGGATTTCTCCAAATATTAGAAAACGTCTTAACATACAACTTTGTATTACCCTTCGTGTCCAGGAAAGAGACCAGGCGTACCGAAAATTGCCATTGTTGTTACGGACGGTAATTCCAACAACCGACAGTTGACTTCTGCCGAAGCTGACAAAGCTAGAAAGGACAATATTACCATGTTTGCCATAGGTGTTGGGCACGGAATCAATGATAATGAATTAAATTCCATTTCCTCAAATCCTGACAGCCAGTACACCTTCCATGCTGAAAGCTTCGACTCTCTGACTTCACTTAAAGGATCTCTATCATCCAAGACATGTGAACGTAAGAATAATCCATCACACGATGTTTTACAATAAATTAACTGAACATTTGGATTTCAAGACGAAAAATCTTTCAGATTATTTTTTTTTTTTTTTGGTTAATCTACAACCTATTTTTTTAATTCTCAGAGGCAAAACCAACCGTAGGACCAGCTCCTAGTAAGTGAATTTCTGATATTAGCAATATTTTCGTATATATAGAAATTCAAAAATCAGTGTGTCACAAGATGGATACCATAGTATTGAACAAAAATGTATCACTTATTTTTTTTATCTTGATCTGTAGACTGCAACGCTGGAAGTGTTGCCGATATCGTTTTTGTTCTGGATTCTTCTGGAAGCATCAGGAAACCAAACTTCGACAAAATGATCAACTTCGTAAAGGATATGGTCAGAAACTTTGACATTGGCCCTAACAAAATCAGGATTGGTGTTGAAACCTTCAGCAGTCGTCCCTATCAAGAGTTTCAACTAAACTCCCACATGGACAAAGCCTCTCTTTTATCTGCTCTTGATAAGATCACCTATAAGAGCGGTGGTACCAACACAGGAGACGCCCTCAATACAATGTACTCCAAAATGTTCACCGCCGCTAACGGTGACCGTTCAAACGTACCAAATATCGCCATTGTTCTCACTGACGGAAACTCCAACAACCACCCCAAGACGGTCAAGGAAGCTAACAATGCCCACAAATCGGGTATCAACGTCTTTTCTATCGGTATTGGTTCTGGCATCTCCAAATCTGAGCTGAATGATATTGCCTCGGATCCTGACAGTGCTCACGTTATGACCATTACTAACTTCAACCAGCTTCAGCAAATCCAAGGCGCCTTCCAGGCCAAGACCTGCAATGGTATTTATAAAGTGTTTAAATATAGTATATAATACATATATATGTATTGTAAATTGTGAATGAGAATTTTGTGAATTCATTGAAGAAATCAATCTTTAATTATTTTACTCAAGGCTAAAATATTTTATTTTATTCCAGTTATTCCTCCTTCTCCTGGACCCAATATGACTCGTAAGTATTAAAAAAAGTATTAAAAATATAAATAAAGTATTTGAACAGACTCCAAGTATTTGAAAGTAACTTGTATTTTGTCTTTCTCCTTCTACACTAGCTCCTGCACCAATCGACCCTTGTCAGGATGCCATCGCAGACTGTGCTAGATATGGCCAGTCCTCCTGTATCGGACAATACACTGATTGGGCTAAAATAAATTGTCAGAGATTCTGTCAATTCTGTACACGTAAGTTAATATTATATCTAAGTTCGATGTTTAAAAGCAGGATATGTCATATTGCTTTAAATATATATGTACATTGCCCAACAGAATTTTATTAACATAGCAATAATATAGATCTACTATACTTAACAAATAACTTCTACATCTACTAACATGGCATAAAATGTGAGAATTATGTATTTATTTCAGCTCAAATCAAGACCCCACCACCTCCTTGTGAGGACGCACTCGCTGCCCCTCAGAAATGTACTCAATTCGATCCCAATGTCTGCACCCAGTACAAGCCATGGGCCCAGGCAAACTGCAGAAAATTCTGTGGATATTGCAGTAGGTATTTAATAAAATTACAAGCATTATAGTCATCTAGACAAATTTAATCCCAGGAAAAAAATTGTACAAAACTTTTAGTTCGTTTTAAAAACAATATTTTTCTCTATCTAAATATTGAAAGTGTATACCAGTAAATCTTAAAAGTACTCCCTCTTCCGTTTTTTAAAGTTCTGAAACACATGGAAAAGGGTATAATTCTTAACGAGGTTCGCTCCTGAGCTTTTGAGGAGAATTTTATCTTAACCTATATTTCAAAAATTCTGCATAAAGTTTTAATTCTTACAATAATTTTGGATTCTACAATGCCAATTAAACTATATTCAGTTAAAACTCCATGATTAAATTCCATACCAAAAGAATAAAGCGAGGAACTATATTTTGTGGCGGAAGGTTTTTTAGAAGAAAATGATCATTTTTTCTCTTTCCAAGTATTTAAAGTATGTTAAGTTTGAATTCCTAATTTTCCATGCAGTCTGCACACAGAGTTATTTTGTGCAGTGAACTGTTTTATACTGGTCCTAAATTATGTATTAAATAAACTGTCATGAATTCTATCATCATATTTGATAAATATAGCAAATATATTGTGAAAGTCAAGAAAAAAAATATCCCCATTTTCAGCTTAAAATAGCACTATTTTAGTAATATCTAAAAAATAACATCACAGACCCCCACTTTTTATTTTCTTTTCTGAATATATAAGATACTTTTAGCTTTTCTTCTTAAATTCAGTAAAATGTCATTACTTTCAAATGATATTTTTGCTTGTTAAATTTTTAATACCAGAAAAATGTAATTTTTTGAGTGCAAAAATGTCAAATAATTGAACATGCGGAGTAATTTGAAATTTTTTTCGTTGTCACAAATTTTAATGTGTCTATTCGAGATGAAATAAGACTGTGTTTGTTCCAATAATTTATTTGAATAAAAAATATTGGAGGAAAAACTTTAAAAATTGATTTATGTGTCAGACGTATTTACAGTGCAAAAAGGTCAAATTGAATGCTCTGTAGCGCCAAAAGAAGCGCATTGACCCCCGTTTTTTGGTTTGATTTTTAATTAAGCTATGTGTTTAAATTCTAAAAATATACTTGATAAAAAATTCTCATTACTTTTGATGGCAGGATCCAACCTCCTTAAATAGCTTCTTTTGTTTCAATCATCTGATAAAACGAATTTTCATTTAAGCCCAAAATATGCTGTTGATAAAAGGTAATGTGGAAGTAACGTTTATGTTAGGAATTGTAAATTATTTATCAAAATCATTTTTTTAAAATTATCTTGTTTTACAGGTCCTGATGCAAAGGGACAACCCGGATACTGTAAGTGTTTGTCTTTCTTTCACTGAACATATCAGTTGTTATTCCGAAATTAACCTTCTAACTTCAAGTATTTTTTTTCCCAGACGGCAAATGTTATTACAACGGCAAAACATACACACAGGGACAGAGGTGGTCCGACGGCTGTGCTTACGAATGTACATGTGATGATGCCCTCCATGGAAAATACAGCTGCTACAACAAGTATATTAACAATTATATTTGCATGATATGACCTCACCTACCAAATTTTTTCAATTTTTTCTACAGTGGAAAATGTTAGTGTTCTTGATTTAATTTTGATGCATCTATAGAGATTGACTGAAGGGTACCTACCAGAGAAAGGCCCAATCTTTCTTATTGTTGAAGTTTCAAACAGGTTGGGACCAAATAGTTTCAAATATTGAACATTGGCAGAAATGTTCATTTGTTGAACAAATTTTTTTTAACCCAAATGTTTAGAACATGGATCCCACAGAAAATTCGAAACTTCTTGGGGATCAATCTCACAAAATTTAAATTGTAAGGTTTCAGAAGAACTTGCTTGCCAAAAGTTGTTCCATTCAATGTATATTTATGCAAATTGCAAAAAAAATTTATTTGCACAGTAAATTTTTATCCCATTAAGGATATATTATCCAGTATAGGCTTTTATTACCCATTTGGGCTATTGTTCCCAACCTGTATCATGTACTCTGCTATTGAGACAGGGTTTTGCATTTTATAACTATTCTCATACAATAGTGAAATATTCAAAATATTGCTTAGAAAAAATGCATTTTATTAACAATATGTCAGAGAAGTCCTGACATATTTTCTATTTTGTTTCGTTGTTACATGTAACAGCTATCAAAAGTTCGAAAAATCGGATTTTTTCCCTTTTTTTAGCCATCACGGTATGCTGGAATAGCATGGTCTTAGGATTTATATATTTGAATATCATACGCACTTGTTCTATGAGCATTTCTACTTACATTTCCTTTGCGCAGTCAAATTTATTTATTGCACAGTTGAAAGAAAGGAAAGTGTAGGATTTTCTAGAGAACAAATACGTTTGAAATCTATAGTATTTCTGTTAAAATTTATTGAACCTCCAATATAATTTGATAAAATCTCCAATGAATCGAGCGTATCTTTTAAAAACTATAATTAATGGAAAGATTTTGAAATTCCCTCCATACCAATGTTGTCAATTGTCATTAATAATAAAATAAATGACTCTGTTTAGATGCCCCGCCTACTACAACCTACCTCCTCAGTGCACTCTGACAAAAAAGACTGGAGAATGCTGTTTACAGCCTGTTTGTAACTTTAACCCTCAATACCAGACTCAGACAGGCCAGAAGGTCGTCAACGTTAACGGAGTCAGTAAGTATCATTAAAGATAGTTGATTTCTAGTTCTCCACTATAAAGCATCGCATCGTTTACTGATATTTTCTTTGGTTTATATGATACTAGACTGGCCCAGTGGTCAGGTCTTGTCTCCGCATCGATCATGTCTTGGATCCATTTTTCACCAAGTTGCCCTCATTTAGGGTAATTAATTGTATAAAAGTGCAATTTCAATTCCGTTGGACTATGACACAGATCTAAATGTTCTCAGTTTAATAAAAAAAATCTTTCCATCAATTCGATGTCATATATATATTATTATTAAAATATGTCAGCAAAATGTATCAATAAATATATATGAAATTGAGAAACAGTTGAACTCAATCCATAATTCCGTAAATTCAAGTATAATAAAGGTTTATACAAAAGACGAATAAAGCAGTCTATGTTGTGCAAGAAAGGTTAATGTTTCTTGGTAATCAAATTAAATGTTTCGTCTTGTTTTGTTTTGACTTTTGTATTTTTTTTTTTTTTTTTGGTTCAACAAATTGTGAAAGACATTACTATTTTTTCCAGACATGTGTATGTATGCTGGTAAAAATTACTACCAGGGACAGACCTGGTCTGTTGGATGTGAATATGACTGTCAGTGTGTTGATGCTGGCGCTGGAATGTGGAGCTGTCAATCTAAGTAAGCCACTCCCTGGAAAACTTTCAATCAGATAGCCATGTCTTTGAAAGCTTTCAATTAAAGTTACGTCTCTGACTGGTGGGATTTACTCTTTGCAATACACAGTTCAAGATATATTTAAAATATCTGCTGTACAATTTCATAGATTGAATAAAACGTATTAAGAAGTGTAATACTTACTGTACCGACCAGACAGGAAAAGGCAGTCTCTACATTTGAATATTAACCAGTTTCCTAAAACTGGAAATGGAAAGATTAAAATCCTTTGTCTGACTTAACACAAATGAAGCTTTTACATTGTCCATAAAAGCATTTTCTTCAAAATATTCATTGATTTTTCGAAGTAAGTAAATTATAAGTAAGCACTACCCTTTCAGGTCAATTTACGTAGACAAAATCTTCAAATAAAGTACACTATGCCTAATTTCATAAAATAAATACATATATTGATTGTTTACCGTGCAGATGCCCAGTTTACCAGAATATTCCATCCATCTGTCATTTGGAGACTCCTCCTGGTAAATGCTGCGAGGAGCCAAGATGTGACTTTAGCAACCAGTATGGAACTTTCTCTGGTGTTGGAACTGTTTCTGGAAACGGAACAGGTACAACAGTTATATCGCTGTCTTCATTGAAACTGTAATTAAGTTTTAAATTTAGCTTATGTCCTCTTTAATCACTTAATTGTAATTCAAATAGTTGTTCTTACCGTTTTCCCAATTTGCTCTGTATTATATATTAACACTCCAAATTCAGTATGGCAAATATGTTCGGACTATTTTTGTGTCAAACCCACTTTGCTATACTGAATTTTAAATTTTGATTTTAGCAACCACTCAGCCAACAGCCCCTCCACCATGCGTTGACAAGATCAATAACTGTAACCAATACCAACTGGCTACATGTACAGACAAACTCTACAGAGACTGGGCTCTGGTTAACTGTCCCAAATTCTGTGGATTCTGTCGTAGGTGTCCTATTTTCAAAATTTTTTTAATTTTCAATTCAATCTTCCAAAATGGTATCTACAATTATTTAGAAAACGATGTATGATTTGATTGTTTTCGAGAAATTTTCTGTATTCTAAAACTGACAAATTATGGCAATGATTTAAAAAATCAAATTAATAGTGTTTTTAAAAAGGAAAATGTCCTAATCGTACTAATCGTACTAATTAGTAGATTTAAATCACAGTTAACTAAATATCTAGCTATTTATCTATAAATTCGTATATAGACATGTAGCGTTGATTTTGACTAATGGATTTAAACTATGTTTTATTTTCAGCTTTGTTGAACCAACCTGGACCTGATGGTAATATTGTTTCCTAAATTATTAATATAATTATCTATTCAACTTTAATAAATACCTTGTATCAGTTACTTTAAATATCTAACAGTAAAATTCATTTCTTTAAATAAATTTCTTAAATGTCTTTTTCAAATCATTAAATATTTCATTTTTAGACCGCTGTGTTTATAAGGGAACGACTCACAAACAAGGAGAAACTTGGTATGATGGATGTGAATATGAGTGTTTGTGTGAGAATGCTAAGTATGGATACTACAGGTGCAATAAGAGGTATGGAAACACTTTGACAGTGTATAATACATTTATGAAATTATGATTCATTCGAAAGTTGAGACAAAATATTAATAATACAAGTATATCATATTTCAAGTTATTAAGTAATATAAACTTTGATTGTTCTATAAAAATAAAATATCTGAAAAAAAAATCAAAATTACATGAAGATGTTGATAAACAAATATATATATAATTATCTTTTATACAAGGTAAGTTTTATTCTGTAGAAATTGAAAGAGTTATGTTTCTTATTCAAAATTCTGTAGATTTAAATTGTTAACAGTCAGACAAAGGGATTAAAGCAGTGATTTTTTTTTCTAATTATTCACGAGTTAATGAATAATTGTCACAAAATATATTTCAGATGCCCTGATTATACAAATCTACCTCTTGGATGTAATATGGTGAAGGTCAATGGTGAATGTTGTCCTACTATCAATTGTACTGCTGGGGCACAGGGAACATTTGTAGGTTCTGGCACGGTGCCATCAATTGGAGGATATCCCATCCCATCTATCAGACCCACAGCTGCTCCTAACCCACTCAATCCAGGGGCACCCACTGTAGCACCACAACTTGTACCCAAGCAGATTGGTTTGTAGAATTTTCCATCATAGATATTTATATGAATGAAATCCAAAATAAATGAAAGTAACTTCTGATTTTGATGATGCCCTACATGTATGTTCTTAAATACAGTTGTGACAAGCAATAGTATGATCATAAAACTATTTTGTAATGAATGGTGGTTATATAAAATCTTTAAAATAGAATATTGCTTTTGAACGCGTTAGTGCTAATCTTCACCTTTCTCCAGATGGATGCTACTACAATGGACAGTTGTACCAGCAGTCCCAGAGATGGGTGGATGGTTGTAAATACTCATGTGTCTGTGATGATGCCAAAACAGGAAGATACAGATGTTCTCCAAAGTATGTTTTCTTCCATGGTTTTATTACTTTAAAAGTTGTCTTGCTTAATGAGTATATGAATGTATACACGATTTCTTTCATATGAATTTATCATACGTCACTAGATGCCCCTCATTTAACAACTTGGATGCTTCATGCACACTGAAGGAAGATCCAAATGATCCATGTTGTCAGGTGCCAGACTGTCATCCACCAGCTGGATCTACTCTGATTAATGTCCCTGTTCCATCGTATGGCCCAGGTATCACAGGGTATGGTGTTGCTAAATATCCACCAGTTACCGTGACTGGCACCACCGGACCAGGAACTAGCGGAAGCGGAACCCCATCCTCCTTCACCGGTTTTGGAAATGTAGGACCAACTGTATCAGGATCAACAAGTGAGTTGTAGTAATGTTAAAATGTGCATTTTTTTTTAATCTTCTCTTCTGATCACATTCATGTTTCGATTATACACATATCAGATCTGACATATTTAATAAATATTATGTACCTTCACAATCAAATTCAAATCATTGAAAAGGGCCAAATGTGATCCAAATTTTGGTGAAGTTGCAAATAATAAATTTGTTGTTGTTGTTTTCATTGATTAAAATGTATTATCATCAATTTTAAAGTATAATTTACTTCTGAAAATATACAGTGAAAGCATACTTCTCTGGCATATATATATGCAGTTATTCATCACATATTAGGTAATTCTTTAGTTTATATAAAGATCTCATATAGGTAATATTTTGCTATAATGTTGTCAAAGCATTAAGGATACAAAATTTGATGAAAATACATAATAATGAGAATATTCGGTAAATTGATCAAATAAAACCGTATTATTTTCAAGGCATCTGTGCTTGCTGTGAATCAAATATCAATTCTATAGTGTTGATAAAAGCACCATTTGAGGCTATTACTAATTGAACTGAAATCTACCTTGAACAACTTACGACTGTTCAAACCTTGCATATACAATGAAATTGTCGATGGTAAATTATGATAACGCTTACCCACTCCTGCAAAAGACAGCGAATGCAGAAATTAAAATAGTGACTTTCAGTGTTCCTTTTATGATGTTTACAAGATGCCATAACACTTAAACATGCAGTAGCGGAATTAAAAAGAATTGACAAAACATCATATTTTTGCAGAGGGTGTTTGCATTTACAAAGGACAGGTTCATCAGCAGGGACAGACCTGGGATGACGGTTGTGACTACAGGTGTACATGTGTGGATGCTTCCATTGGACAGTACAGATGCAGCGATAGGTAACATACATAATGAAATTTCAGTTAACAAAATGTTAAACCAGTGTAAATATTGTGTAATGTTTATATTCGGAAACGTTATATTTGTTTGATTTTTTAGAGCAGTTCTCGTTCTTAATCTTCGAAAAGGTGATGGTAAATTTTCTTGAGAACTTTAGAATTCTTGGGAATTTTCTTGAGAACTTTAAAAATCATGAACTTAGAGGTTTCGAAAATTGTCAAATTTGAAGAAACTAGAATAATTCAAAACTGATTAAAATTATAAAGCGTGAAGCCAACGTTTATATCAATTATTGGAGTGAATATATAATGTAGATATTTTTGTCGAATGATCCATGAAATTCTTTGTAAACTTCAGATGTCCCTCCTACCAAAACCTTCCTCCTCAGTGCCGAATGATCCAGGACCCCAAGGATTCCTGTTGCCAGACATATGTATGTGACCAAACTGTAACAACGCCCCGTCCAATTCTAATTCGAACCACTCCTGCCTCAGGAACAGGAGGTATATTGTTTTGAATTGATTTTTCTCTGTTAAATATCGAATTCTACGAAATACTTCTGATATGAAATTCATAGTAAAATGTCAGGTATGCACAATCTGTTGAAAACCATTCTTTTCTTCTGGTTTAAAGAAACACTTTGTGAAGTTGAGGTTGTCTTTTACACATTTTTTTTATTTTAGCCGCATAGTTTATAATGAATGAAGCAATGAATTTCACAAAGTACAATCATATGTCATACCAAAAAAATTAATTAACCAATCCTTATTCATATGAAGTCTAGTAACTTTCTTTTTTAAGCGAGTGTTTATCGCCGTGAACTATTTAACAAAATTGTGTAATTATGTAGAATAATTCTCAGTAGAAAAATATTCAGGTATGCCTGAATTTCAAACTAACGATTCGCATAAAAATATTCTCGAATATTTGGATTCACGTGCACGGTACTTGTATATCATAAATTAAAAACTTAAATATTACATGGTATTGAACGCATTTGCTTATAAGTTTGAATTTATAAATGAGTTAAAAATGATGTATGAAGTAATATAGTTGCTAGTATATCTTAATTATTTATTTTGTGAGGCATAAACATTGAATGTTCAAATGTTCTGATTAAAAAAAACGCTTACTCTATTTTATAGTTGTAATAAAGATTGTTAAAAATTATGATAGCTCAAGCAAATCTTTGGATATCAAGAAAGAAATTTTACTGGTTAATTTAAAAAGGTTGTGTTTAATGTTTAGAATGTTAAATGCATGTTAATTATTTCCCAATTTAGAGATATTACGGGAAATTATCTAATATTATATACATATTATTTCCAATTGTAGATTTTTAAGGATATATCATTTTATCACTATTTTTTTTTAAGATTACTGTGTGTATAAGAGCCAATACTACCACCAGGGAGAAGAATGGATGGACGGCTGTAGTTACAAATGCCGATGTGAGGACGCCAAAAATAAATACTACCAGTGTACAGAAAGGTGATTACCGTCCATAAGTTAGACTACACTCACCCTCTAAATATAAATTACTATTGATTTGATTGTAATTGTCATTTTGGTAGAGTATTTGTAAATGCCAAAGATGCTGTTTTGGGCAAAGACATAAAGAGGTCAGAAATAGTAATTTTCTTTCCATAGAGGGATGTTGCCCTTTAACAAAAACATCCCTAAATTGTTATAATTTTCTTTTAAAATGAAATCAAAATAAAACTATTTTTAGTTGAATGTATTTTACGTTGCCTTACAAACGCCGAATTCGCTTGGAAAATTTGCTTAGAGAATTCATCAGGTACATGAGCGCACGGTATCTAGCAATATTTTATTATACTGCTGACTTGATACCCGACGATTTATAAGGACATTTCTCAAAATTTTTACGAACTGAATATTCAATTCCAAATTTTTGTGAGAATGTGTTGAATTTTTTTTTCATGAAAACGATATAAAGATTGCAATTTATTTTTATAGTTTTAAATACACAAAATACACAAATAATAATAAACTGATTGAATGGTAGGAAATAGCATTTTCCACTTTATTCTAACTGATTAATGTTCATCTAGTTGGAACTGATTTTGCAAAGTAATATGTAATAATATTTGCCTAAGGATAATACTTAGAAGTGAAGTAAAAGTCTAACCATTAACTTTTTGAAGATGTGGACAATACTCCAACATCCCTGTAGGATGTACCTACGTCACTGATCCTAAAGATTCCTGTTGCCGTATCCCACAATGCAGTGTATCCGGAAGCACTGGTCAGACAGTTAGTGGATTCAACCCAGCTGGATACACTGGAAGTTTTACCGGACAAGGCAGACCCCAAGTTGCATCTGGAAGTACTTCCGGTTCAACTACAGGCTATTCAAGTAAGTTAAAGTTTTACCCAATACGTTCAATTTATTTTGATGCAGTGTTAGCAGCAGTGACAGCAGGCAAACTTCGTACTCGGAAAAGTACATACGCACAAGTCTTGCACAAAGAAATACAACCATAAGAGCAATGATAAAAATGAGTTGGTATCAAAACGATATCGTCGATATCGACGATATTGATAACAACGACAATCTTTAATGTTTAAACAATACTAGACAATACATATCGACGATATCAACACTATAAGGAAATCTTGATAAAGTTTTTTTTTTTTTTTTTGGGGGGGGGGGTAATACATTGAACAATCATGATTCGATATCGACACGATATCGTGAATGAAAAGGAAACTTCGTAAACAAAAGTATTTAAATATACATATAAGTATAAAGAAATAATGTAACAAACTATAAAATAGGAAAGCTACTCAGATAAATGAAATCAAATCGTGATTACACTGGGGTTTTTTTTCTTTTTTTCTTTTTGTTTTTTTTTTTTTTTTGGTCTTAAAAACGTTTTCAGCACGGCATTGAATGCAGGAATTAAACTAATTGTAAATAAGAAAATTATCTTACACTTAGGATTCTATATAATGAACAGTTGATGTCGAGAGCAAAAGTATTTTTATCGTTCACCTGTAAAAAATTTAACTCATTCTGTAATCAATAAAAAACCACAACGGATAAACAAACATACAATTCAGAAAGCAGCAGAAAATAATGAAAACAGATTTTACAATTCTATGTATAATATAAATACAAGTAACACAAAAACATGTTTGTACTATTCAATACTCTATTCAGGTGCCTGTATTTACAAGGGACAAATCTATCAACAAGGGCAGACATGGCAAGATGGCTGTGACTATAACTGTGAATGCATCGATGCAGCAAAGGGCGTCTACCGTTGCAGTGATAGGTAACGCCTTTTTGCGAGTTTTCGTTCATCTGTGCTTATATCAATGGATGAAATTTTCCTTTAATATAAGGATTTTGATACTTACTTTTGAACCCCTTTAAATGTGTCTAATTGATTCATAAAAGTATATACTATGAAATCACTAATTTTTGTGGGGGCTTAATTTTCGTTGTTTTCGAGGAATGAAGAGATCCATGAATTTATGTCCACCACGAAATGTAATTTTTCACAAATATTACTACTCAATAATTCTTCATCCACGAAATCAAATCACCACAAATCCATATTTTTTCCTTAAACCACGAAATTTGACCCCACAAAAATACATAATTTTATATGTGATTTTAGAGTAAGTATAAGACACGATTTTTTTCTGCCTCAAAGGTGTCCACGTTATGGAACACTGCCAAGTGAATGCCATTTAGTGCCAGACGCAAATGACAGGTGTTGCCAGAAACCAGAGTGCAACCCAACTGGCCCAGCTTCTTGTCGTGACGTCAAATCTGACTGCGCATCTTACGGAAGTTACGCATGTCACGAACCCTACGCTGGTTGGGCAAAGGACAACTGCGCTAAATTCTGTGGATTCTGTGGGAATGGCACCGCAAGTAATTCCTTATTCACTTTCCACTGTACTGAATAAAAACGATTGCAAATTTCCAGTAATGATATGAATGTTAATTAAATAAATGGGATATATCTATACTTACCCTTTAATCTTTTAATCAAATAGGTATAAATACAACCCCGATCACATTAAATAAAATTTTTGTATTTAATAAAATCATACTTTCATACTTTTTGTAGAAATCAAAATGAATGCTATGATAATTTAAAACTTAGATTGAATGTAAATTGAAATAAGAGAATTTTCTTCACAGCAACTCAGACTACAACCTCACCAGGAGTCTGTTCAGACAAAATTCCGAACTGTAAAGACTTTGGTACCCAATCTTGTTCTGGCCAGTTTATCGGATGGGCAAAATATAACTGTCCCAAGACTTGTGGATACTGTGGTGAGTCAAAAGTAGATTGTTACAAGTTTATATTTCATATGATGTATATTTTTGTGTAGTTTTCAGAAGAGGAATTTTTGCCCCCTTTTCGCTTTCCAAAGATATTCACTCAAACTTTCAATTTTACTCTTTATATGAATATGAACGTGATTTCAAAAATTGGTTTATTATAGTGATTTCAAAATTTCCAAGGGCGTGTGTGAAGGTTTTACTTGATCAATTTTACTTTTAAACATTTTGCTTTCTTCGGGATTTTTTTTTAATTTAAAGACATTGCTCAGTTTAACAAAATTTTCATAATTGAAAACACTACACTTTGGATTGATCAAAACTTTTAGTTCTACTTCAGTTTTATTTTACACTGAATTATACATCTGATTCTATTAATAATACCTATTCCTTATTTATATAATATATCGTTTTAGGTGCTACAGGAACGGGCACTAGCGGAGGAACTGTAACAGGTTAGAACTTCTGGTCAAAAGTGATCTTTGTCGCTGCTGAAAAGAATATTGCAAACAATATTTGTATGCAGCTTTTTACATGTTCCGCCTTGTATATGTGTTCATTCATATCACTAATTTCTGGTATCATTCATTGTTTTCAATATTACATATCGTTTAATTCTAATGGATACATTTGCCAAGGACGTTTTAATTTTACGAACTTTATATTTAACTTTTCTTTATTTTTTTGTACCCTTCGGTAGCGTTGCAAGACCTACAGAAATACAGCCTTGTGCAAAAACATATGCACCAGAACCAGAAGTAATAATTCGGTTTTTATTTGCACATTGTTTTTTTTTTCTTTCAACAGTCATTCATTTTATCAAAAGAGTCATTTATCATCATTTTTTTTTTCATAAAAACGAGATCCATAATGCTTAAAAGTACTTAACTTTCGGGGAAATTTAATTGCTTCAATCCCACATATCTTAAAAAAGGCTTAGATTTTGTTCATCTAATTGCTTTATGCTGTGCATGTTTTAACTGTGCATGGCTATTGCTTTTTATTTACCATAAAGAAAGTCCTTTGTCAGCGTCAATGATAAAGACATTTGTTTCAATTCATTTCTATCTGTCTTCATCCTTTTTCCTTGCAGGCTTTTGTTCAGGCTTTGCTTGTTAGGTCACCTGAGTCACTCAGGTGACCTATTGCTATCTGTTTTTGTCCGTCGTCGTGCGTCGTCCGTCGTGCGTTAACTTTTGAACATTTTTAACTTCTTCTCTAGAACCGCTCAACCAATTTCAACCAAATTTGGTATATAGCATCTATGGGTGAAGGGGAACATAAATTGTGAATTTCATGATCCCTGCCCCCCTGGGGCCTGAGGGGTGGGGCTAAAACCACCAAAATTAATGCAATCTTTAAAAATCTTCTTCTTTACTCCTGGACATCAAGCAGTCAAACTGTTGGCATCATTGTAATAAGCATGGAGCCCTCTACCAAAATTGTGAAATTCACGGCCCCAGGGTCAGGGGTTCTGGCCCCAGGGTGGGGCTATATAGATCATATAGTGAAAGTGCATTATTTCTTTGAAAATCTTCTTCTCTGCTCCTGGGTATTAAATAAAGTTACTAAGTACATAGTTATGATGAGCAAGAATGCCTCTTCCAAAATTGTGAAATTCATGGCCCCAGGGTCAGGGGTTCTGGTGTTAGGGCGGGGCTCTATAGATTATATAGTGAAAATGCATTAATTCTTTGAAAATCTTCTTCTTTGCTCCTGGGTATTAAATAAAGTAACTAAGTACATAGTTATGATGAGCAAAAGTGCCTTTTCAAAAATTGTGAATTTCATGGCCCCAGGGTCAGAGATTCTGGTGTTAGGGCGGGGCTCTATAGATTATATAGTGAAAATGCATTAATTCTTTGAAAATCTTCTTCTCTGCTTCTGGATATTAAATAAAGTAACTAAGTACATAGTTATGATGAGCAAGAGTACCTCTTCCAAAATTGTGAATTTCATGGCTCCAGGGTCAGGGGTTCTGGTGTTAGGGCGGGGCTCTATCGACTATATGGTGAAAATGCATCAATTCTTTGAAAATCTTCTCCTCTGCTCCTGGGCAATAAGGTGATAAACTAAGTACATAGTTAAGATGAGGAGGTGGGCCTCTGCCAGAATTGTGAAAGCCATGGCCCCTGGGACAGGGGTTCTGGTGTTAGGGCAGGGCTCTATTGATTATATAGTGAAAATGCTTTAATTCTTTGAAAATCTTCTTCTCTGCTCCTGGGTATTATTTAAACAAACTAAGTACATGGTTATAATGCATAAGGATGCCTCTTCAAAAATTGTGAATTTCTTGGCCCCAGGGTCAGGGGTTCTGGAGTTAGGGCGGGGCTCTATTGATTATATAGTGAAAATGCATGGATTCTTTGAGAATCTTCTTCTCTGCTACTGGAGATTATTTAAACAAACTAAGTGCATGATTATGATAGACAAGGATGCCTCTTCCAAAATTTTTAAATATATGGCCTCAGTTTTGGGGGTTCTTGATGGGGGGGGGGGGCTCTATTGATTATATAGTGAAAAAGCATTAATTCTATTAATCATTAATTAATCCTGTCTGCTCCTTAGTGTTGAGCTGATAAATAAATTGCGTAGATATGATGAAAATGGGAGCTTTGAACAGAATTTTTAAATCTTGTGGTCCTAGGGTCAGGGGTTCTGGCATAACGAGGGGGGGGGGGGGGCTTTTGATAATATAGTGGAAAAGTGTTAATTCTTTGAAGTCCATAGTTATGATGATGAGGGTAACTCTTCCAGATTTGTAAATTTCTTGACCCTTGGTCTTGGGTTCTGGTGTTAGGGTAAGGCTTTGTTGAATCTGTAGTGAAAATGCATTGTACCTGTGAAATTCTTCTCTGCTTCTGGGCATATTGGAAGCAAACTGAGTAAAAGTTTAAATGATATGAGTAAGCATATTTCTATCAGATTTTTAAACATCTGGACCATTGGTCTAAGCATTCTGGTCCTGGGCAGGGCTCTATTAATTTGTATTCTACTGAGAGAAGTTATTCCCCTTTTCCATTCACCTTTGATAATTAATCACTGTAAATAATGTATTTGAAAGGTTAATAGAATAAGATAATTATGCAAGAATGATTATCGTATAATTAAAAAAGTACTTTCTTAGTTTTAATAAACAGATAGACCTGTAAGTAATAGATAAATAAAAATGAGACAAAAACAACTTATCTTATTAAAAGTTCTTCAAAGACCATAAGAGAAGTCAATGCTAGAGGTCTTAATATGGGTTTAAAAATAGTACAGAAGCAAGAATAGTTTGTTAATAGTCTGCATAGTGTTAAGTGGGGGACAGATTAGAAGTTAATTTATGAGTTGATACTGAATACTAGACTAATTATTTTGTTGATCCTGATCTTCCTACTTCTCTTGCTTTAGGGCAACAAAGCTTCAACTATCAGTGTATTTAACTTCTAAATTGTTGTATTATACTCAGGTGACCGTTAAGGCCCTTGGGCCTCTTGTTGTTTTTATGCTTTATGCTTTTTCCTTTTATCTATCGACAGGAGTTCCAGTGGCACCCTCCATGATAACTGGTGAGGCTATAGAAATTAGGAACAAATACTTTTTTATATAAACCAACCTTTAGCATTCTTTCCGTATACATCATCTTACGAACAATTGGAATAAAATATATTAATGTATCCCATAAAACTTACAAAGAAAACGTGCTGTAGCAATGTTAAGGAGACAGCATGGGAAATTTTTAATCTTCAGTTTTTGTTTTTAATCTTTAATTTTTTTATTATAACTTATGAATCTGAGTTTAAAAAACATCTTTTTCAAGAACATCTCAAGGGAATAAGAACAACATAAATAAGAACAACATAAATAAAAATCGATATAAGTTTCTTTTCATGTCGGACTGAATCATTATTTGTCGAAACATTGTTAAGCATCACAGTGTAATGTAGATGCCCATTTTTCGAAACACGGCGAACCCTGGGGCACCTTTAAATATATATATATATATTAATATGCAAATATCCATATGTAATAAAGATTCAGGTTTGTTCAAAGCATGGCCCCAAGAACAAGTTTGGGGTCATATTTTTTAACAAATTTTTTCAAAGAAATATACTGATATCCACAATAACAAGAAGGGACAAAGTCATTAAATCTATAGTACTAGTATATCGTAACTTGAAATTGTTGAAATCATAGACTTAAAACTGATGACCAAATGTAGGTTTTATTCAACTACTTGTATATGAACTTTCAAGAGGAAAATAACGACTGAGGAAAGCGTTGTGGTCCCTTCAACTTTCCTTGAAGAGTGAATCAATTAGTATAATTTAATAAAATAGAGAGCACTATATACCTTAAGCTTAGATTTTGAAAGAAACAATTTTCCCCATTATGTGCTCATCTGATTTATTTTTTTTTCTTGTTATTTATTGTAATGAAAGTGACAAAATAAATAAAAGAGATAAAACTTTAGTGTATTGAGTATATTGACTTGTTCCTAGAAGAGATGTCAATAGTCCTGACTTCATTTTATCTTTTTTGTTCATAGATTAAGTAAAATATGTTCTTTGAGCTGTTTGGAATAAATTACTATTTGAATTATTTAGGAACTGGAGGAGCGGGAACATCCGGAACTTCTGGAACAGGAACAGGTAAACATTAGTTACGATTTTTAAACTTCTAAACACATTCCATACACGGTTGTTAAAGATTTAGTTTTGAACGATACTGAAAATTTGTTTCTAAAAATTTTATTCCGATTTTCGTCTTCAAGTGTTTTTGAGATTTAAGAAAAAAAGACCCTTAATTTACAAAAAGATATTTTAAACGTAGAAAATTATTGGTGTTTATGAAATAATTATAAATAGATTTTTAAATCAGAAAATGGCTATAACTTCCGCATAAATTTGTCGTAAACATTGAGAAAAAACTTACACCTGAGAAAAGCAGTTTGTTAGTATTTCAACTTACCCTATATGTTGACAGCTTTTATTTTGTTAATACTTATACAGATATGACATTCATTTACAGGGGCTTGTCGGGATGCTCTGCCTAATTGTGTGGAATTTACCAAGAGTTCTTGTGTAGAACCTTATATCTCTTGGGCTGTGAAGAATTGTCCTGCCTACTGCGGATTCTGTGGTAATTATGCTCAAGATTTAAGAGAGATAAATATCAAAACATATGAAGTGGAAAGATAATCTCCAGTGTCAAACTATGCTCAAATCATTCCAAGAGAGATATTAATTTTTCATTTAATAAGAAACTCACTGAAGAATTATTTTTCATAAGTGAAAAGTATATTTGATATCTTAGGACCAAACGGTACCATTATTGTTACCGGAAGTACTGGTGGTATGACTGGAACAGGTACCGGAACTGGTGGTACTGGAACTGGAACCCAGGGTGGTATGACAGGAGTAGGAATGGTGACTTCTATACCAGGCAGTTCTTTTACAGGAAGTGGTATGAAAAAGATATGCTTTACACATTTTACTGACATTACAGGGATTGATGAATACTACATTCTATGAAAATGCAGGGGGTTACTAACAGGGGATGCAGAAAACTGACTCTGGGGGGAATAGTTCCAAGAGGGATATCTCCCTTCTGAAAACCGACTCTTAATAGAGTACAATTTTCTTAGGGTGGTTTTCCTTTAGAAACAGTTTTCCATGAAGGAAACCTTACTCTAGAGACTTTGAAAAGGAATCTAGTTTTAGCGGTACATTCAACTCTAGAATCCATTTCCATTTTTAGGATTTTTTTTGGGGGGGGGGGATTCTACTCTATTTCTGGTTTGCAGAGCAAAGTTCTAGTCATTCTCGAACTTTTCTTCATTGCGAATGTCAATTATGCATTTTGTGTTTCTTGTTTAAATGGCCAATAGAATATTTCACTCATGGGCAAGTTTCCTCTGGAAAAAAATACCTTTATTTTTAAGTTGCATTTACTTAAAACTTTTTTTAGGTGGCGGATGCTTGTACAAAGGACAACTGTACCGTCAAGGAGAACAATGGAATGACGGATGTGACTATAACTGCACTTGTTCAGATGCATCACGTGGTTATTATGTATGTAGGGCGCTGTAAGTATTAAAGAGAGTGAGAGGGAGAGATAGAGAGAGCAAGCGGTGTAAATTATTATACATTTCTACACAATTCTTTTTTATTTGTTACAGATGTCCTCAGTATACTAACCTTCCACAAGGATGTGTCATTGTTAAACCAAGTGGACAATGTTGTGGACAGCCTCAATGTACTGGAGGTACCGGAACTGGAACAATGACAGGAACTGGTGGAACTGGTACCATGACAGGAACCGGAACCGGAACTGGTACCATGACAGGAACAGGAGGAACAGGTGGAACTATTTCAGGTACATGGATATTATACACTATCAAGTACATAAAAACGTATTTGTCCCTTTTTTTCAGCCAAACAGCTACAGTTGTTGCCGTCTTATGAAAGCCCTTTTGGGAATCAGTTCTTAAATTGAAGCTGACAAATCAACTGTTTACTGAAATGAATATTTGATATGGCTATCTTACTGATAATTGAATCTTTATGAACTCTGGTTTAGCATGTCTAGAGTATTCATGCATTAACACCATTTTAGCAATTGGTAGAGTTCGTATTTCTCGGTTAAAATTATTACATGGATTTTATATCCAACGGATGATATGCAAGTGAAGATACCATACCACAAAAGATTTCCCTATGAAAAGTGTTTATGTATATTTATTTTCTTTCTTTCTTTCTTTTATTTTTTTTTTTTTTTTGTTTTTTTTTTTTTGTTTTTTTTTTTGCAAAAACTTTGATTTCTTTAAGCATCTTTTTAAGTAGTTAGGATAAACACTGCAGATTATTTTGTCCAAAAAACTAGTATAGAAGATGCTATAAACAGATATCATGTTTGAGGCAATCAGCGAAATCATATTTTTAATCATGATACCGATACCATGTACCTCAATTTGCTTAAACATACAATTATTTAAAACTGGATAATTTTGTAAAAGGTCAGAACCAGGGATGTTTCTACAACGGACAATTGTATCAACAAGGGCAGACATTCGACGACGGATGCAAATACACATGCACATGCGCAGATGCTTCAAGGGGTTACTACACATGTCAGAACAAGTGAGTTTTGCTAAGGACAAGGTAGGCAAAGACTTCTCTCTGGCCCCTGGTTTTGAGATGTCTCTTATAACGGTGCAGTAATTCATATCTAAAACCTGGTTTTGAGATGTCTCTTATAACGGTGCAGTAATTCATATCTAAAACCTGTTGTCATCCTTGTTACAAAATGAGCATTGATTCTAAGTGATACGATACAGAGAGGTCACAGGAAGATCACAAATTTGTCAATTTCCGAATGTTTCATTTTTAGTCAAATTTTCATCACTTTAAAAATTACATTTCGTTTCAGATAACACAGAGAGCAATCTTTCTTATCTACCATATTTATATACCGGTATTTCATGCACCAGTATGAGATGCGTCTTGTGGATGAAAATCTGAGATAGATAAGCTTGTGCTCTATGTTTTCAGAGTTAAAAAGTCTCTCAGATTTGATGACATTCCATCAGAATTTAGGAAATTCATTAGAATGTTCACTTTGTTACCCTCTTGTGGCTTCCGTATATGCTTTGAGTCAAAATCAGTGCTGGTTTTAAAACAAGCATCATTTAAATGTCTTGCTTGCAAAAAAAAAAAATAATAAAATTTAAACTATGTTTTATTTTTATATCAATTAAGGGACCAAATTCGACCTTTACCATACATTATCCTTTTCAAAATGCTTCGAATGACAAATTGTTCTTTGTTACGTGTGTTGTCAATTTAAAAAAAAATTAATCGCGTAAATTTTACATTAATTTTGAGAAATACAAGAACAATGTCATAATGGTTTTTAATGCTTACAGATGCGTTGATTGGCAGCTACCACCCGTCTGTACACTGAATCCACCTGGCCCAGGTAAATGTTGCAAGACTCCAAACTGTCCCGCAGGCTTCGTCATCAACTATCCTCCAGGCTACACGGAACAGTAATTGTTAGTAAAACAGTTAAAAACACTGTTATTATTTGTATCAATTGTTTATATGAAAAGTACATTAAAATGTTACAGGATATGCCTACTGTTCTTTTTTATGTTGGAAAGAGCCATACCTGAGTTGCCGACGACACGGCCTACTCGAGAATTTAAAGGAAATCACCCTTTCCCATTTATAGATATTACTTTAAAAGCATGTACTATCATTTGCATGGGAAGAGTGTTATATTTTCAAAGTTGTGACTATGTCATATAACAATCATTTTACATGCTCATTACTCTAATGTAGAGACAAAAGGCTTAGAAAATCAGTAAAAATAAAAAGAAAGTAGTATGAATTTGCAAATTTCAATGAAATCATTTAGAACTGTCTTTCCTCTCGATATTTTCAAAGAGTAATGAGTAGATTAGAACTCTTGAAAGTTATGTTTTTTATAAAAATAATATAGAAAAAGTATAAAACTTGCACAAAGAAAAAAATTAATTTAAAAAGCATAAATGGAAAATGTCGGGCTCGCATTAGGAATCAACCACATTTACATTCCAGCAATCATACCACTGCGTCACAAAATTATTGATGTCGAAAGGATAAAATTAAGACAGATTGCTAAATCTTAAACAATATGAAAAGGAAAATTAAATATATATTTCATCATTTTTAGTATAAAGACCACCTTTAACCTAAATTATCTAAATGTAATGAAGTATACAGTCATACCTTGATAATGAATCTCGAACTAGAATTTCAATCCAATGTTTTCTCTCACGTCAGTGTCGAACTATACCCGTCCATTCATTGTTTCATCAAATGTTTTGACGCTAACATTTTGTCCTTTATTTAGGGTGAAGGGAGGAAGGGGTTATGTGGTGGCAAAGTTCTGAAATGTTGGGGACATGAATATTTTGTTAGGAAACTTTGATGGTGTTTTACAAAGTTAAGATATGGTCCATGGCCTCGTTGTCTAACTAAATCTGAGAAATTTAATGAAAATTATATGAAGATATTTCACTTTCATTTAAATAATTTGAATTTATTTGTCGAGAAACATTTGTTTAAAAACACTGTTACCCTCTGAAATCGCACTCTCCAGTAATATAGAACTTAGCATTCGTCAACACTGCTTGACGGCGGGTGAAATTCCAATAAGTATTGACTGCGCGGAGTCTAATTCTACATCTTGAAATCCAACTTATACTAACAGTTCACTTTCTTGGGATGAAATTATTGAAAATCACATTTTAGTCTTTAATACATTTTACGTTCCTATCAACGAAGGTGAGTTCCATCTACCGTACCTCTACCGGATTCCTAAACATCATAAAAATCCTTACAAACAAAGATACATTGCAGGGTCCATAAAATGTTTTCCCAAGCCCCTATATTCATTTCTCACAAACATATTAACTGTTGTAAAGGAGAAACTTCAGACGCAATGTGCTACAGCATATTCTAGAAGTGGTGTAAATCAGATGAGGATTTTAAAAAAACTCCAAAAAAAATTTCAGAAACTTTAAAAGCACATTTTTTTCAAAGTCAGTAACATGAAAACATGACGTTTCTACACTTTATACAACCATTCCTCATGGTCAAATAAAAATTAGGCTTTTACATTTAATAAACAACTGCTTCTTCAGTAAAAATGAAACTCTGAAGAAATATTGTGATTGGTCATCAACAAAATTATTTTGGTAAAAAATCACTCTGTTTCTACACACAAGTACTCTGAAGCTGATATTAAAAGGACGTTGCAGTGCCTCGTTGTCAATATGTATGTAGACTTTGGAGACCATATCTTTGAACAAACATTTGGAATTCCAGTGAACACTAATTGTGCTCCTTTATTAACCGACCTGGGTTTTTTTTTGTATTCCGTGAAGCAGAATTTATTCGAAAACTTCTAAATGAGAAGAGGAAAACACTTGTTTTTGCCTTCAACTCGACATTCAAATATATCGACGACGTTTTAGCAATTAACAACAGTTACATTCATTTATATAGGCCTATTGACTCGATATATCCCAGTGAACTCGAAATAGTAGACAACACAGAGTATGTCACATATGTTTTATATTTCGATGTTTTACTGACTATAGACGACAAAGATCAACTAACAACTAAACTGTAAGACAAATGAGATGACTTCAGCTTTTCCATCGTAAACTTTATTTATTTATCTAGTAATATTGTGCTATCACCTGTATATGGTGTTTATGTCTCCCATTTTCATGGATACTCAAGAGCATGCTCTAAATACGATCATTTTTTTAACCGAGGCAAGCTATTGACAGATAAGTTGATGTTGCAAGACAGAGATTTAAACAACCTCGTTTCAAGTCAGCTTTTCGTAAATTCTACGGTCGGTTTAATGACCTTGTTAGCAAATATGACCTAACATTGGGTCGTATTTTGACTGACATACTTCATACCAATTGTTAGGCCTTTATAATTGTGACCCTAAATAAAGATATGTGCTTTGCATAAACATCTTGGTAAAAGAAAGATTTCATGAATATTCACCATCAAAAGACGTAGAATACTACTGTTATACTAGTATCCACGTGACATCGTTTTGAAAAATGGATAAAACTTGTTGGGAAATCACGTTTTTGTTCGTGTAAAACCTGCTTGATACTATTTTTCTTGTGTTCAAGCGTTTTATTTCATCCTTATATGGCTAGAGTAGTCGAGGTGGCCAAACTTTTTCTTTTCAAAAAAAAAATTAATCCTTAATATGCTTGTATTTTTAAGAGATTTTTTTCAATTTCAAAATCAGCATCGTTTTCCTAAGACAAAATAAACATTTGTCTGCAAGCTATTATTTTCTATAGAAATAATTTGCAAAGTTATATCACTCATCACTTTTACTTTAAGATAATATTAGTTACCAGTCATACATGAAACTGTATAAATTTTTATTATTTAATCATGTAGAAAAATGAAAATCTAGAACTAAAAAAATTAATATGGAATTGACTTTTACGTACAACGTGAAATATGGGGGCATTTAAGGTGATAATGTATGTATACTGGGTAAACCAAAAAAGTTAAACTTTTTTCAGAGAGTAGTTTTGGCTAATTTGCATGCAATGGGTTACAGGCAATAAAACAAAACATTAAGAAATATAATTACAGGCAAGATAAGGTAATCTTTAACATGCTTTTTCTACATTCTGTGAATCGTTATGTAAAGTAGTAAATATTTATGAAAGTATTTTTTAATTTGCATTGAATTGATTCTATGTACATTTTCATTTTGAAAAAGAACAGAAATATTGAGAAAAACTTTATATTTACTTTTAATATTGCGTAAAATAAAAGTTACAATGCTGGTAATAAATTCTATTTTTTTTTTTTTTTTAATTTGACATTTTTGGCTGGACTCACTTTTTATTGCATGTCAACAGAACATTTAAAAGTAATTTAACAGAAATCATGCAATTAATTAGATACAGACTTACCACTATTAATTCCTCAATTTATCTCACGCTGGGTTTTTTTTAAATAATACACACAAATGTGATAACAATGACACCGGTCTACCTGTGTCATTTTGAAGTGTACGTAGTTTCTGACACACTAGACTACGTACATTATGCTTTGATAAGCTACATAAAAAACTCATATTTTCATTTATATGGAATAGTTTGTCGTAATTTACGTGTACACATAAAATACAAATCTAAGTCAAGAATCAATTTGTCATTTGAAATAGGGATAAAATGCATAAACAATTAGCCTATTGAACAGAGTTGGTACGCCTATGCTAGTTTTTATTTATTTCTTTGCTTACATGAAAGGTAGTGTTGAATTGATATATAATGATATAAATCCCTGTACCATAGCTTTAGATTAAGTTAACTAGAAGCTTGAAAGAAAACAGGACTTATTCAATTCCTTACACAAGTATACGTGATAATGAGATAACAGGAGAATGTTTGTATAATAGACCATGTAACGCCCACACTGGTATTAATGAAAGAATTGATCATGAACACATTTGTCAAGGCAAATGATCACTGTCCCAAAGGATAAAATGCTCACCATGAAATAGGTGAAGATAACGAACAGTCATGGATCTCAACAAGGCCTACAAACAATACAAATCTGTGAACAGGGCATAAATCAATCTTTGGTATTCAGTTTTGGGTGTTCATCTTCTAAATTTACTTTGTCACAATTAGATTGAAGTTTTACTTTTAGGTGACATTAGTCCCTCTCGTCTATATTTCAGTTTCAGATATAGTACTGTGGAATCATCATTGTTCGTATTGTTCGTGGGGGACCAATGTTCGTGGGTCAAACTTACCTACGAATTTACATCCCCACAAACGATCTTTATTTTCGTTTCATTGATTAAACCTACTGCAATCATCGAATCTTCTATAGATAGTGGACTCCACATGAACTTACGTCCCCATAAACCAGTTAAGTTTTGGTTCCCCACGAACATTGACTATCTCGAATTAAAATTATTCCATAGTACTTCATTATGCAAATCCCTCACTTGACTTGGTGTTGGAATACATATTATAATGTTAAATTCCCTGAAAACCGATTGGGCGTGTGTTGTTCAATCAAAATATTATGCATTGCATAATTTTCATTATTACGTTTCATTGCTGAGAGTATTTCTCAATAATTAACTAAAGTTTCATTTCGAATATACATAAAGCACTGTTATCTCTGTATACTATAATTAAAAAAATTAACATGCACATAATAAAATTGTAAATCAAACATTCTGAATATTTTGAATAAAACTAACACAATACTAAGGAGCAATGGGTCATGGGACAAGACCAAACAATTGCTATATAAAGAAAGTAAACCAAAACAAAAAAATCACACAACATTGACAAACTAGATTGTATGACTATATGATGTCCTAGATGAACTAACGATAAAGTCACCTTTCGCTTTGGTTTACATGCATGAAACGAAATGCATTGAAATTGAGGCTAGGTGGCAAAATGCTTCAACAAATATGCTTCGAAAATTTTGTTAAACTCCTATGAAATTAAAATACTTGAAATAACAAATAAATACATATTTTAGAGGATTAATTACTGCTTATAT